AGCAAGTTTCTAAAATGCTGAGGCTCTGAAATGGGAAAAATGTAGACCTTATGGGGTGATTATAAGGGTCTAAGATGCCGTGTGCCATATCCAGCACCATACTTTACCTACAAACAGCCTGCTGAGGATCTCAGATGTGTCGTTCGTTTAAGGTGTGTGTTGTGTTGTGAAGGTCAAGGAGAGGAACAATAGGAAAGTGATCTTTGTTCCCAGGGTTGAGAGGCGTGAAGAGAAGTCAAGCTCAAGGGTCTTTGCTCAAGGAGGCCTGCTGCCTCCTTCGGCATGGCACTGGGTGCTGACTCAGGGGAAGTCTGGAGGCCCAGCCCAGGGCAGGCCAGGAGGGCTCCCCGAACAAGCTGGGATTTGGGGCCGTGGTAAACCGCACTCATTGAAAGGAGGAAGAAGATGGGTGCGGGGAAGTGGAAATCCTTATGCTGGGTGATAGTTCCAATTATTTGCAAAGGATTTGCAAAATCTACCAGGGTTTCAGCTGAGAGTCTCTTCTTTCCTCATTTCCGGAGGCATCTGGTTAGTCCACAGTCTCCCCCAGTCGCCCTTAATGCTCAAGGCCCTGGGGATCCATGAAGTGTGAGGGAGCTGGGTGTAAAGTGCCTACTGATGTGATCAGGAATCATTACACATGTGGAAAGTGAGGTGAGCAGGGGTTGGAACAGGAGCTCTCTTCTCCCCACACACCCTCCCAGCCCTAAAGTCCAGAAGCCACCCCTTCCCCACAGTCTAAGGTGGTCCTCATTATCGTTTGTGCTTCCTAGGGACCTGCCGCATGCCAGGAGCTCTACACGCTGACTCACTAAGCGGCACAGCACCTTTGAGTCAGGTCCTTGTCCCCATTTTACAGATGAGGGGACAGGGCCTCAAGAGCTTGTATAATAAGGGCCTTTTGTACATTGAATGCCAGATCAGCCCAGTTCCAAGCCTTTGCTCTTCTAACTCTGAAGCATGGACACAGAGTATATCAATCAGACAGAAGGGGGCATTCCAAAAAGGCTGAAGAATGAAGGCATTTGTAATCTTTCTTAGATCCCACACATGCCCAGCTAGAAAACAAGGCTCCCCATGAAAGTACCCACAAAAAGAATCACTGACGCTGACCTGTCCCTCCCTTAGCCACACCTTTTAGATGTCACAGCACAGGTGGGAAGGCGCCTTGGCTCTCATCAGCCTGCATCCACACAGGTTCATCAAGGCTGCCTGACAAAATCAGGTTTTAAAAAAGGCAGGCACATCTATCACATGCTTAAATATTATTACTCAGCTGTGATTTCATCCCATTTTGGTTATTCTGGTAAAACAGTTTTTAAGGGATCACTTTGATAAGAAATAAAGTGAATGGTTCAGTTGTGGAGGTCATGAATATACACCCACTGGGCAAATAGAGAAAGTGCTCAATGTTGGATGAGGGGGGTACTCCAACCTAGAAACAAGGTTTTCAACAATGACATCATAACAGAAGAAAAAATGTCAGCATTCTCAGAAAGCTGGAAGAACAGGGACTGTGCCGTGGAAAACAAAGAGACTGACAGCAGGCTGGGTGAGGTGGCTCACACCTGTGATCCCAGCACTTTGGGAGGCCGAGGTGTGTGAATCACCTGAGGTCAGGAGTTCGAGATCAGCCTGGCCAACATGGTGAAACCCCATCTCTACTAAAAATACAAAAATTAGCCTGGCATGGTGGCGAGCACCTGTAATTCCAGCTACTCAGGAGGCTGAGGCAGGAGAATCTCTTGAACCCAGGAGGCAGAGGTTGCAGTGTGCTGAGATCACACCATGTTACTCCAGCCTGGGCGACAAGAGCAAAATTCCATCTCAAAACATAAAAAGACTGAGACCAAAGGAAACATAATCTGAGTAAAATTGTTCCCTGATGTGGGAGAGATTTTTTAAAACACAATATAAATTAAAATATGATTCCTTTCACTATTTCTCATTGAGTTAATTGACAGCATATTATATAAAATGCTTCACTGTGTCATCCGTGTTGGCAAAAATTCACATATTCAAATTGGCCATAAACCTTTCTGAGGGTTTGTCTTTGGGAGAATGGCAGTGCTCCTGAAACGCCAGGTGGCCTTCTGCTTGGGTGCGCACAGTGCTTTTGCATTATTGGTAAACAAGTCATTGCATCTTACCCACACCTGGTTTCCTGAGCCGTGCAACTCCACCGGCATTTGGGGCATTAAAATCATAAGCACGGCCGGGTGTTGTCGCTCACACTTGTAATCCCAGCACTTTGGGAGGCCAAGGCAGGCAGATCATGATGTCAGGAGTTCGACACCAGCCTGGTGAAACCCCATCCCTACTAAAAATACAAAAATTAGCTTGGTGTGGTGGCACCTGCCTGCTGAGGCAGGAGAATCACTTGAACCTGGGAGGTGGAGGTTGCAGTCAGCCGAGGTTGCACCGCTGCACCAGCCTGGGTGACAGAGCAAGACTTCATCTCAAAAAAAAAAAATTATAAGCACACCTTGTATTAGTCTGTTCTCGCACTGCTGTAAATGAATACCTGTACTGGGTCATGTATAAAGGAAAGGGGGTTCATTGGCTCTTGGTTCTGCAGGCTTTATAGGAAGCAGAGTGGCTTCTGCTTCTGGGGAAGCCTCAGAAAGCTTACAGTTGTGGCGGAAGGTGAAGGGTAAGCAGGCAGATCACAGGGCCAGAGAGGGATCCAGAGAGAGAAGGAAGAGGGAGGTGCCACACACTTTTAAATGACCAGATCTCGGTAACTCACTCACTATGCGGAGAACAGCACCAAGCGGATGGTGCTAAACCTTTCAGGAGAAGCTGCCCCGTGAACCAGTCGCCTCCTACTGGGCCCTGCCTTCAAGTTGGGAATGCCAATTCTACGTAACACTTCGTGGGGACACAGATCAGATACAAACCACATCACACTCTGACCCAGAAGGCTCAGTGTGTTTCGGCTTCGGATTCCCCAGTAGCAATCCAGCGTTTGTTTTCACTTCCAAAAGCTTTTCTACTTGATTACGTACTGTTTCCACTCCTTTGCTTGACCTCGATCATAATGTTGGCCTTTTATCTGGTATTCACACATCAAGCTTCCCTGTTGCCTCGCCGGTACATTTGCAGTGTCTTCAGTCCCTGTTAAGGTTGGTCTTTCTCCCCCTTCTTCTCCCCCTTCCTCCCTCCCCCTTCCTCTCTCCCCTTCCTCTCTCTCCCTTCCTCTCTCCCCCTTCCTCCCTCTCCCTTCCTCCCTCTCCCTTCCTCTCTCCCCTTCCTCTCTCCCCCTTCCTCTCTCCCCCTTCCTCTCTCCCCTTCCTCTCTCCCCCTTCCTCTCTCCCCCTTCCT